TAAATAAAATCCAATTAAAATTGATCTTGCTGCTGCTTCTGTACACAAGAGTGATGGTAAGTGAAAGCTAGAGCAAACTTACAAAAAGTCTTCAGACTAACATTCAGCAATGGAAAGATATTGTTTTCTGCTACATCTACATCTGAAATACTGTGTCCGCATTATATTTGGGAAAAAATATAACAGAACATCTAGGGCCGTGATGGCGAACCTGTGGTACGCAGAGCCATTTGTCCGGGCACACAAGATGTTGTCCTGTCAGCTGGCCAGCGCGCATGCCTGACTTTGGCCTTCTTTTGAGTCCATTTTTCGCCCTCCGGAGGCTTGAGGAGTTTCCCCGAAGGCTCCAGAGGGCAAAAAAACAACCCTGTCAGCTGGCCAGCGCGCATGCCTGACTTTGGCCTTCTTTTGAGTCCATTTTTCGCCCTCCGGAGGCTTGAGGAGTTTCCCTGAAGGCTCCAGAGGGCAAAAAACGACCCCACAAGGAAACCGGAAGTCACTTCCGGGTTGCTCATAGGGTTGTTTTTTTGCCCTCTGGAGCCTTCGGGGAAGCCTCTGGAAGGCCCCTGAAGGCTCCGGAGGACTAAAAACAGCCCTATGGGAAACCCGGAAGTCCCTTCCCGAACTTCCGGTTTGCCCATAGGACTGGTTTTTCATGCTCCGGAGGCTTCCTGAAGCCTGCGGAGGGCCTCCCGGGAGGGGGGGGAGGCTGTTTTCGCCCTCCCCAGGCTCCTATAAAGTCTCTGGAGCCTGGGAGGGCAAAAGAAAAGCACACCAAAAATGGGTGGAGTGCTGGTTGTGCATGCATGCGCGCTGGGGTGTGGCACACCCATGCACGACCCCCCTGCACTCCCCCCACTCTTGTCACATGAGCCAAAAAAGATTCACCATCACTGGTCTAGGGCAAGCACCATCCAGTTTAGCTGAAAGAAGGTTTGGAACAGACAGATACTGCATGACTGTGCTGTGAAATCCATTGCCATGACCTGTGATAATGGGCACTCCCTTGAATGGCTTTAGAAGAAGATGAGACCAATTCATGGGAGCCAGGTCTCTTAAGGGCTGTTGGTCTTGAAGATTCAGGCCTCCTGGTATCAGCTAATAAGGAACAATGGCAAGAGAAAAACATCTCTCCATCTCCTTCTTGGAAGCACCCAAGAAGCATTTGAATGGTCACTGGGAGAAATAGACCACTGAGTCAACAGTAACATGACTACTTCTAGGCTCTTAGGATGATCATATGATGCTATCCATCGTAAGATCATCCTAACTTCTGTGAGTGTTTTGCAATCTAAATATTATGCCTGCTTTCACAGAAGAAAGGGCCATATCCCCTGTGTACTTTAAGAGGAAATGTTTCATCATTTATCTTTACTTTTACCTATATGGCTCTGTAAATTGAGAATCTGTTTTTCTTTTACACCTTATCATTTCTTAGCAAGCAGTCCTGATGCAATGTATGTTACAGGCTTTATTGGGGCTTACTTCGCTAACCCTTAATTTATGTAAGACAACCAGAGGGATCCAGGTACAGTTAAGCACATTCCAATCCCAACATTTTCAGAGGGAGAGAAAAAATAGGCAGATATTAATTCTCTCTGCCCCTGATGTACAGCCGAAATTGGCTTGACTAGATCTTATTTATCCCTCTTCACAGATGGTTAAGAGTATATTCTGGAGGAGAGAAAATAACAGCTACTTCCCCATCCCAGTCTATGTTAGACTTTGCCAAATAACCTCTAAGAAGTAGGAGGTTGTTTTGACTTGTTTTTCAGGCCAGTGGGCTTTTTGCATTTATTCATTGATGCTTGACATGGCAGGGAGCAGAAGGGCTTTTAATCCTATGGATCTAAATCTGGATTTGTTGAAGAGACACTGACCAAGCCAGGGGGAGGAGTCAAGCAGGGAATTAGTCTACATAGGCACAAGAGTCTGACCCACCATGAATGCTTTTGAACCTTTTCAATGAATGTTAGGCCAGATCCTCACAATTAAGTACTTTATTGTTCATGCCTATTTCACAGGAAAAAGGGATGTGGTGGCTCAGTGGCTAAGATGCTGAGCTTGTCAATCAGAAAGGTTGGCAGTTTGGTGGTTCGAATCCCTAGTGCAATGTAACAGAGCAAGCTCCCGTTACTTGTCCCAGCTTCTGCCAACCTAGTAGTTCGAAAGCATGTACAAAATGTAAGTAGATAAAATAGAGACCACCTTTGATGGGAAAGGAAGAGCGCTCCACGCGGCTTTGAAGTCTAGTCATGCCAGCCATGTGACCATGGAGACGTCTTTGGACAATGCTGGCTCTTTGGCTTTAAACGGAAATAAGCACCACCCCTAGAGTCGGGAACGTCTAGCACATAAGTGCGAGGGAGTACCTTTACCTTTACCTTATTTCACAGGAATCTTTTTAGACTGGCAGTTTGCACCTAGGCCAGACTACATAAGGTTCACCAGCATTCAAAGCAGGTTGGACCTTTCCCAACATAAAGATTCCAGACTAATTCCATGCTAGACTCCTCCCCCTGCTTAGCCAGTCTGTCTTCAAAAGAATTCTATCTATGCAAATACTCTATTTTGGAATAATTACCATCTTCCACCAGAGGTAAAATAATTGGCAGATATTTCTTACCTTCTGTGTGGGCTTAACCACACTTCTCACATGCTAGCAAAGAGAAATTTCACCATACCTGAGATGTCTTCATCCTGTAATAAAAAGGTGATTTATTGACAGTATACCTCATTCAAATGAAACAGAATAGCATTAGAACTAAGATGAGAACTACTCAAGGAGTTTCCCCCTCCCTTTTAACCATTATTGTACTCTTTAGCATGCAATTTGCAAAGCTATTAAGCTTATTGAAGAAGTAGTGAGATGCTAAACTGTTAATGAGAAATGTTACCTGTTACCCAATTGATTCGGTTGTCTTGTGCACTAAAGAAAATAAAACAAAATATAATTGACATTATATATCTGTTCTGTGGAGTAATCAAAATTCAGTTGGATAATACATGTGCTTTTAGAGGACAGATAATTTAAATAACATTTTTCCCCAAATAAGAATTCTTAAAACATTTTTAAAGGTTTAAAATTAGCAACAGATAAGACCATAGATCCTTTTTAAGTCATAACAGAAATAAATAATGTATCTGGACAAAATTTACCCTCCTATCTTCAGTATGGGAGTTAGCTGCCTTTTTTCTGTTATATTTCTATTTCTGACATGCTGCTTACCATGCAGCTTCAATCCACATTGCCATTTGGCCTCACTAAGTGATAATTTTTATGCCACAGGGAAAGATCTATTGGGCAATACATTTTCTTTGCCATCACTCTGATAAAACTGCCAGCCTGAATCTGAAATGAATTTGTAGACCTCTGTTCTAGGATAAGAGATTTCAGAATGTGATGGAAAACCAAGCAAGTTTCAAAGGGAGCGGGGGTGGGGAGAGAGAAGCAGTATCAAGTTTTCAGGGAGTTCTAACTTCTCTAAATATAAATTATAATGAAACTTAAAGCAAATTTGGAAGATTTCTCTCAGAGTGTCGGGGGAATCAAATGGTTGAAATGAAAATTTCCCAGCTATTTCTTTGATTTGGGTTCAGTATGAGTCATTTAGGGATGCGGTGGCTCAGTGGCTAAGACACTGAGCTTATTGATCAGAAAGTTCGGCAGTTCGGCGGTTCAAATCCCTAGCATTGCGTAACGGAGTGAGCTCACGTTACTTGTCCCGGCTTCTGCCAATCTAGCAGTTCAAAAGCATGTAAAAATGCAAGTAGAAAAATAGGAACCCAAATCAAAGAAATAGCTGGGA